CCGTTCGTTCGTTACGTTCGTTCGTTACGTTACGTTACGTTCGTTACGTTCGTTACGTTACGTTACGTTACGTTACGTTACGTTACGTACGTACGTACGTCTCTCTCTCTCTCTCTCTCTCTCTCTCTCTCTCTCTCTCTCTCTCTCTCTCTCTCTCTCTCTCTCTCTGTGGATCAGTCCTACTGCTTTAGAAGTAGGGGACTCACCTTGCCTGAATCCATCCATGTCGCAAAACCTCTCCCTCAAGTTTGCATGAAACTAATTTTTGGCTAAAATTCCTTGCAAGTAATGTTTGAAAACTTAAGTGGCCTGGCTTAATCGGCCCTCCCCTGTATAGGGGATAAAAATGGTGGTTTGAGCAAATTAAAAGTTAAGAAAAATAGTGTAACAAATACAACAAAGCAAAACACTAATATTTATGTTGTTAGGCAAGTTGCTTATATTTATGGGGCAACATAGTTCTCTTCTACTACTCAGAAAATACTACTCAGAAAAAACATCACAGAAAAAACACCACAAACATGGTGAATTCAAGGGTTTACATGATCTATCTCCCAAGTCCTACAAGAAGTTTTTTTTTCTCTCTCTAAAATAACCACCCAAGGACTATAAGAACTCGTTCTTTTCTCTCTATTTTTTTGCATAGTATAGTCGTTTCTCTACAAAATACTTTCACAGAGAGTAAAAGCAAGGTACCACCCAAGTAAGGCCTTCGCATCCTCCCTTATCTTTTTGTTAGAAGAATCCTACTAGAAAATTGGTAGCTTTCGTGAATTCAATAGCTTTCTGATCCTACGAAGAAAGAACTCTTGTTCAAAGGGAAGTACGGATTTCCTAATCACATAGGTACTCCAATAAATAGACGGTTGGATTATTTACTAAAAATAAATCACTCTGGTTATCACCATAAAACGGTATCCCTTCTCACACAACTTAGAACTCATTTATTAACCTATTTGCCGAGGTAAATGCATGAGTAAGTGACATATACTTAACCTTTGTAGAATACAAAGCCACCACAAAGTGTAACCAACTAATTGCACCTCCCAAAGAAAAAAATACTTGGTAGTAGTTCACCTTTTATCCATATCACCTGCAAAATTTGCATCAATTTACCTGGGAACTTTTAAATCCATCCTATTTTACAAGTTTCCTTTTAATAATAAAGGATCTACTTCATAGCGGTCCAATAATAAGGACCAAGATTTGCTATGCATTTGATCACAATTACTGCTTGTGCTATGTAAGGTTTGGTGCTAACCATAACAAACACGTGTCTCACAACTATTGATGAATACGGTACTCAAGATGTCTGTCTTTTTGCTTCAGTGTTAGGACCTTGTTTCAAAAACAACTTCATATGCATAGGAAATACAGTATAGACTAGTTTGACATTCTGCATATTGAAGTGCCATAGAACTTTCTCCAGATAACTCTTTGGAATTAACTAAATTTTTCTATTCTTCCTGTCTCTAAATACCCTCATCCTAATTTGATTATTGGCTTCCAAATATTTCATCTCAACAATCATAGGCAATGGAGCTTTAAGTGTTACAATATTGGTTTTATTTGGTCTTGCACAAATCATGTCACCGAGATACAATAACAAGATAACAAAACTTCCATCACCATACCCATGAAAGTAGGGACAATTGTCAACTTTACATCTAAAATTCAAGCTCAACATGAAATAATCAAATCATTTGCACTATCACCTCAGTGTATGTTTCAATCTATACAACAATTTCTTGAGCCTACAAACCAAATTCTCATTATCTTTCTCCAGAAAATCTTCAGGTTGGGTCATAAAAATTTCTTCTTTTAGGTCACCTTACAAGAAAGCAATTTTCATACCTAATTGTTTCAACTCTAAATTAAGAACAATGACCACAACCAAAACAACTCTAATAGTGGTCATGCATACATTAAGAGAAATATTTCATCAAAATCAATAACTGACTTTTGAGCATAACCTTTCATAACCAATTAAGCTATGTACCTTTCAATAATATCATCATGACCTTTTTTCTTCTTGAAGACCCATATGCAACCAATTGCTTTTCTCCCCTCTGGTAATTCAATGAAATGCTATGCATTATTTTTTTTGTAGGGCTTCCATCTCCTTTTCCATAGATGTTCTCCATTGACTGGTTTCATCGACCTTACATGCCTCATGAAAAAAAACTAGCTCACCCTCTTCTGTTAGCCAAGCATAAGACAAGACCTAGTCGTTAAGCCTCACATGAGTATTTTTAGGTCTTTCAGACCTTCTTAGTTCAATGCCATTTAAATATTTTTCAAGCTCTTAGATAATTTTAAACTCTTGGTCATAACCAGCATCTTGCTGGTTCTCATGGGTGCATTCCATCTCAATAGGTTTTACATCTAGCTCTTCTTTCGTTTTCAGCATGAAATTTTCACCGAAAATAATATTGGGGCTAACAATAATCTTGCAGTCAAACACCCTTTTGTACCATCTTTATATCCAAAAAAAACACATTTTTTGGATTAGTTTTCTTCTCCTTTGGAATCAAAGTGTATTCATCAAACCAAAATATACGGAGGAAAGAAACAAGTTTACCTATCTAAATATTTTTTGATGCTTGTAAACAATAGTAATATTAGGAGACCTGCTAATTAGGAATCTAGTTGTACAAACTGCTTCTACCTAAAAACACTGCTCTCACCTAGCAACACTCAACATACACCTGACATGTTCTATAATGGTATGATTTATTATCAACAGCACCATTTTGCTAGGTGTTTCAGTAACTGTTAACTGCTTAGCAATACCATGCTCACTACATAAATTATTAAATTCACAAGAACAATATTTTATCCCATTATCAATTCTTAGGCACTTGATGCTCGTCTTTCCAATTTTCTACCACCGCCTGAAACTTTTTGAAACAACTAAAGGTATGTGATTTTGTGTCAACATA